CAACAGCACATTAGCTAGCTGGTAACTTCAGTTGCTTTTTCTCTGGCCTTGAATCATTGTGGCAAAGATTCATTCTCACAATGCTGCTGTGAGATTTGTAAAATAAGTTATCTAAAGAACACTTGTGCACAAAAATACCAGCTGACTCTGTGGAAAATAAATGTAAAGTCTGGAATATGAGTTTTAAAAACTTGGCCACCATGAAAGAGAAAGAGAGATACAGACGGCACTTCTACAAAAACTGATGAGCAAGACACCAGAGCACCAGAGCTGTACATAGTGCAAATTTGTGCATGGGAGAGCAGTGTTTTATGGTTTATGAAATTAATTATCATCAGTGTTGGTCAAGTTACTTGAAAAAAGTAATCAGTAACTAATTACTGATTAGTTCCCCCAAAAAGTAATCCCGTTACTTTACTGATTACTTATTTTCAAAAGTAATTAATTACTTAGTTACTTTTTAAAAACACGGTTTACAACCTGAGTAGGTGATAAAGCGATAGATCTCTCAGCCCAATTCTACTTTTTCTGCACAATCCATCATACAAAATGTGATCAAATGGAAAAGTCCCTTTTTAAAACTTGTTTTATTGGTTTTAATCTTTTAACTTTATGCATCAAGCAAAAATTTAATTATATGCAACATTCACTGACTGGAAGAAATTTGTTTAACATTTAAACCTATTTTCTGCACATTCCAGCACATAAAATATTTTTTTTTGTGTGTGTTAACACTCAGTCTTTCAAATAGATGCAAGTAAAACACAGCAGAAAATAAATAAAGTCAAAGACTCAGCGGTCCTGTTGCTCTATTTTCACCTGTAAAGCAGGAGCGGGGTAGGCGGAGGGTTACCCTGGTGCAGGTGTGCCGCGGTCAGTGGAAGAATCCGCGAGTTTCTCTGTGAGTTTCCCATTACGTCGTAGCTACTCGGTGCTTGTTGGAAGTTTAGGGGTTTTTTCGCTGTAAAAAGAAGTTTTCTTCCCACGCACAGCGGACACTAATGTTTTTGTCACTTTTTATGGAATCAAACTCAAAGTAAGGTCAGTACTTCCACGCTTTAAACGCTGCACGCTCATACTCTCTCCCGCACTCATATATGATCCATTGTTGATCTGCACACAGCTGTTGTCACTAACGTCGCACTCGTTTACTTCACTGTCATGAGACACTCGCAAAAAAATCACGGTTTTAGTAACGCAGTAACGCAGCGTTCCTACGGGAAAGTAACGGTAATCTAATTACCATTTTTGCAATAGTAACGCGTTACTGCCCATCTCTGATTATCATTAATTTGCATATTCTGAACACATTTTAATGACCACTGTGATTTTTACGACAAAGCCCACCTTTCAGCTTTTGGAGAAAAGACCAGGAATTTAAATATGCCCCAAAGGACTTTGGGTTAAAAACGTCATAGTGCATGTTTGAGGTATATTTTTTATTTCCAAAAACAATTGTTTATTTAAAACAGTATAATGTGCTACATACTGAACTTAGATGACAGAAACCAACCATCATCAATCATAATGCACTACTATCGATCCAGCATTGCTATTGATACGGTTGATATTTAAATCGCTCCACCCACCTCAAATATGAACCTCTTTCTACTTCTGTGCCTTGCTGTTGACTGAAGTGCCAGTGTACCAGTGTGGGATATTTTGATGTGTTTAAATTGTGCATTGAACCTTGCTTGGCTGGATTTAGCACCATGTGTTTGCAGCATTTGCTTGTTACCTGTATGGTGACAGATTATAACCTCCGCAGGCTTGTTTTTGGTCTGTTATGTTGTCAGGCAATGAACATTTGTGCTAAACTGAAATGTTAAGCAAGGACAGACAGTTTTATGCGTGTGAAGAAAATAGTCTTTGTAACCAGTGGCTAATACAGGCAGCCTACTGGTAGTTTAATGATAGGAACATGAAAATTTAAATGTGCTGAATACATTTTAAATGAAAGTGTCTGAGAAAGCGGGACACAGTGTCAGTTTGATAAAGCATGTGATGGCCCTGTGTCTGATACTGTTTTTGCACAATATGATAGAGTTCAGTCCAATAATTCAGGGTTATTGTCTCACTTGAGTTCCTAGAAAGAAATTACCCCACACCACCGGCAGCAATGATTAGGGTTACAACCTGCCTTTAGAGTCAGAACTCTTTTTTTTCCCTTTGTGGCACAGATTCAACACATTCCTGGAAACATTCCTCTGAGATTTTGGTCTATATTGACATGACAGCATCACACAGCTGTTGCAGATTTGTCAGCTGCACATCCACAGTGCAAATCTCTCATTCCACTAAATCCAAAAACTGCTCTATTAGATTGAGTTCTGGTGGCTGTCGAAGCCATTTGACTACAATGGCTTCCACACAAACCCGTGTAAAAGGATTTGCTACATGATGTACTATTGTACTAGCACTGTGGTCATGAAGGGATGGATAGCAGCAATTCTCGGGTAAGCTGTGGTGTTTAGACAATGCTCACTTGGAACTAAAGGACTCAAAGTGTGCCAAAAAATCTCTCTCACACACTGTTCCACCAGCATCCCCAACCTGAACCGCCGGTACAAGGTTACACTTTTCGTGTTCTTTATGCCAAGTGCTGACCTTACCATCTTAGTGTTCCAGCAGAAATCAAGACTTATGTTTTTCCAGCCTTCTGTTGTCCAATATTGGTGAGCTTGTGCGAATCATAAACTCTGTTACCTGTTCTTAGCTGAAAGAAGTGGAACCTGGTGTGGTCTTCTGCTGCTGTAGCCCATTTGCTTCCAGGTTAGACATGTTAAGGATTCATAGATGCTCTCCTACATGTCATTGTTATAGCAAGTAGTTATTTTAGTTATTGTTACCTTCCTATCAGCTTGAAGCAGTCCTGCCATTATCTACTGGCAAATTTTCACCCAGAGAACTGCTGCTCACTATATACTTTCTCGTTTTTGGACCATTCTCTGTAAACCCCAGAGATGGATGGTTGTAAAAATCCCAGTAGATCAGCAGTTTCTGAAACACTCAGCCCATCTCATCTGGCACCAACAACCTTGGCTCATTCAGAGAGACTTAAATCACCTTTTCCTCCATTCTGATGGTCAGTTTGGACTTCAGCAGACCGTCTTGCCCATGATTACATGCCTAGTAGGGGTGCAACGATACACAAAATTCACGGTTCGGTTCGATACTTTGGTGTCACGGTTCAATATTTTTTCGATACAAAAAAAAATGTTCATGCTTTTTTAATTTGTCATTTATTAAAATTATAAATATATATTTTAACTCAAAAGTACAGTTTTTAAATTTAATGTTGCTGAAACAACAAAGTAATAAAAAAATAAATATATCTGATTGAGGAATCACTCAAAAGAGAGTTTATTACAGAGAAACGTCTCTTTCCAAAATAAAAGCTATACTATAAGCTTCTTCTGGGCTATATTCTCAGCAGCATATTAAACATATCAGGTCCCCATAAGGAGAATCCTGTGCTAACGGCTGTCTAAATGACTCGGGTAAAGTTTGTAGCATGCGTGCTTGTTGTTTTTGTCTGCTTCCACTTGTCTTTGCACTAGGATGATGTCGGAGTAAATGTGCAGTCATATTCGTTGTGTTCCCACTAGTGCTGTCAGCGTTAATCTCGCTGAAATGACGTTAACGCCACAACACGGCAAGTTAACGAGCTACTGCGGATCGCCCCGTGCCTGGGGCTGGACGGCCAACACGTTAACGAGCTAACTGCGCTAACGCACTAGTTCCCACCCATGTAATTGAGCATTGTGTGGCACATCCGACATACTGTTTTACTTTAGTCCATGACGCGCTTACCTTCAGGGTCATACGTCACATGAAAACTAAAATAGTTCCAAATGCCAGATCTGAATGAGGGTGGGGGAGGTTCAATTTGCCATGTTGCGAGGAGAGCTTAACTTCTGTCTCGCTAGTTTGCCCTGCGCTCAGTGAATCTGCGTTCGACTACTCCGCCTAGGCTGCACTGTCGAGCACAGATCCACTGAGCGCTCAACACAGACAGCATCGTCAGAAGGAAAGTTGATAAAATAAATTAAAAATTTTGTATTGTTCGATACATATGCCTACCAAACCGAAAGCACTGTATGAACGGTTCAATATCGATATGAGTATCGTTGCACCCCTAATGCCTAGATGCATTTAGTTTGGGCCACATGATTGGTTGATCAGGCAGCTGCATTAATGAGTCGTTGAATAGATATGCCTAATATAGTTGCCATGATTCGCCTCCACAGCCCACAGTGATTGTCTTTAAGACACACTGTTGTTTTACAGCAATCATAAGAAAGTGGAGATAAGTAGATGGTGTAAAGTTACATGACGAGACCATTTCACTGCACTCCTCTCTGCTCACCTGTGATGTGTACGCATGCCGTACAGGTTCTGCAAACAGTAATGAGATTATGGTAAACAATGGAATCAGTTTCTTTGGTGATTAAACTTGCACCTCACAGCAAGGTCCTGGGCATGAATCTACTGGCTGACTGGGGCTTTTGTGTTTGTTCTACCTGTGCCTGCGTGGCTTCCTCCCACAGTCCAAAGACATGCATGTTTGGTTAATGGCTGATTCAAAATTGCCTATAGGTGTGAATGTCAGTGTGAATGGTTGGCTGACTCTCTGCGTTGGCCCTGTGATGGACTAGTAATCTGTCCAGGGTGTTCACTGCCTCTCAACCTACGACAGCTGGGATAATCTCGAGCCCGAAAACTGCTAAAACGAAAGTTAACATTTGGCTTTCTTCTCCACAGTGCAGTCGGTCCCCTGTGTATCTAGGTAGTGCTATCCATCTTCAACAAAGCATGCTCTCACCACTGTTACTTGAGGCTGTTACAGAGACAATAGAGAGAGGAGATGCATGTTAGGGAACTTTTCACATTGGCCTCATTTTTTTAGCTTTCATTTCCAGAGATGTTAAAATTTATACCAAAAGCAGAGCACCCACTGCCATCCCCATAGTAAAATAATTGACAAAGAAGACACTGGAAAGGATGAACACAAGTTTGGTTTATTTTTCACACATAGTATTTCTTTTACAGCACGTGGGAAAACACTTCAGGAGGGAAGACCCAGTTAAAAAGAAAAGAAAAAAAAGAAACAAAAAGGAGGAAGTTCCTTGGCTTTTTAAAAGAGAAACTTTACATGAACTTGTAAAATGGGGGGGAGATAAGTTTTGAACACTGTTGGAACAGAGAAGCACAAGCAGGGGAGACGTGTTACCTACTGTTAAAGAAAAGTATCAAATACAATGTCCCAAATATTTATGCTATACCACCAAATGCATAGCCATTATACAGCATCATTTTGAGTAGATTACAAGCTTGTGTATGAGAATATTGTTTAGATTTGCCTGTGGCTGTCAGGCAGAAAGGGAAACAGGCAGGCAAAGGCATTAAACTGTACAGATTATCTCTGACTCCTGGCTGGTACACGAGCCATCTCAGAAGTCTCTCGTAAATCTCCCATTCTGCATTAGTGCTGCAGCAAGAAGCATGGAAGAGTCCTGCTGACATTTTATACAGATGAGCTAGATTGCATACTGTCACGCTAAGATTTTCTTGTGTAAAACTGCGGCTGTGAGACCGTTCGCTGTATTTACCGAACGAAACCAGATTGATTTTGTTCTACCAGCAGTGGAGCTTAATGCAACAAACATGCAATAAAAAGTGGAACCTCAATCGATCAATCAATGGCTAAATCTATATTTTCATGTCGCAGCCAACTCCTGTTGTACACGGTCCACAGACTCAACAGAAACAGCTTATTACTACACAGTAAGGACTGAAAACAGACTAAAATACACGCACTACCACTTTGGAAAAAAAGGGGGATAATAAAAACAAGGAGTGGACAGAGGAGCTCTTTTTTTCTTTACACTGGATTGCTGATGTTGTACACCCTCTGCCCATCACCATTACCAAGGATAAAAGGTACCCTGATTTAAAAAAAAGACAAAAAAGTAGTCCCACCTGTGTTCCTCTTGATATTCTGTCTCCATGTGTGAGTGCATTCCTCCCCATAATCATAGGCAACCCCAATACATAAATACACCATTACATAAGACAAGCAATCACTATTAAAAAAAAATATTCAGAAATTAACGAGTAATCAAAGAAAATCTTGAAATGTGCCTTTTTAGTCTAAACATTGGTGATGCATGTTCTACAGAAGCAGAGAGCTCCGATATACAGTTTGCCTGCCAGTTTGGAATATGATACAAGTAGGAATCAAAAGTAAGGATTATATTTAAAGAAGTAGCTTGATATTTTTCTTATTTGCTGTCATAACAAGAATTAGAAAGACTGATAGTACTCTCATGTCTGTACAATAATTACAAGGCCTGATAGCTTAGTACACAGAAACGAGAACGGGTAGCCTGACTCTGAAATGTAAAGAAAAACCCCTAAAAACTCCTTACCAGCATCTCCAATGCTCATGCGTTTATCCACAAAAAGCCAAGTAAAAGCTGTACAACGTGCTAGAATACTTCAGAATAGATTAATACTCAGTGTAGCCACAGAAGAAAAACAGGGAGAATCATCGTTTTACTAGCCTGCTATTAGTCAGGGCCACTAATACGCAAGTAAGCTTAGCCCACAAACAGAAAAGTGGAGAAAGTATTAACCTCGACTTCAGCAGCGTTTGAGCGATCTGATGTGATATATGCAGACGACGCCCTCTGTGACATTTGTGGTGCTAAATGTGAAGGTGGCCACGGTAACGCATCCAATCTGAGGAAGCACCTGGCCAAACTTTATTGATGGCATGCAAACCAAATTCACCAAAAGCACCTGTCTCCAGCTTGTAAGGACATATTTATGCTGGCTGACTTTATGCCTGTGCTGGTTTTTAACCACTGGTTAAAAACCAGCACAGGCTGGTACAGAAGCTTGGAGAGTCACACACTACAGAGAGGGAGATGTTGCAACAGTTTGAAAACATCAGGCTTTCTGGAAAAAAAACCCCTCTGAGTTATGCATTTATTTTATTTTCTGAATGTTGCCATAGTAACGATACCAATGCTGCTATTGGTACTGGATCAATACTACCCTGACAGGATTGATATGTAGTTTCTGTCCTGTAAGTTTAGCGATTTGTATTAAATTAACAAACAGGCACTTTGAAAAATGTCTGAACCCTTTTGTGTTGTCACGTCTGTTTTATTTATAGCCTGAACACACAACAGAAGCTGACCCAAAAGTGCCGGCACATTTACATCCCAGGTCTCCAAAAACCCCAATTTTAAAATATAAGAAAGGCTGAAAGTTGTGTTTCTAACTAATTAGTGGAAAGTAAAAATCACAGTGATTTAGCTGTCATTAAAATGTGTTTGCATAGTGATGATGATTCAGCTCATAAATCACGACACGCTGCTCTCCCCTACACGGTGGTATGGAGCTGTTTGCATGCAAAGCGACCGGTCCGGCATAAACGGGCCAAAAGAAGCTGAACTCATGGACGATACTGATTGCATTGTTTGTGACATATTGACACAAGTTATTTTCAACTATTTTTATTCTGGCTGCACTGAAACTTCAGCATGCAGTTGACAGCGGTAAGGTGTTTAAGCCAGCTAGCGTGGTGCGTCAAATGTTGTCAATAAAAACCGATTTGTACGCTCTTAAAAGAGTAAAATGCTCTTTTGGGCACCTGTTTTCTGTCTGTTGGCCAAGCTACATTGGAAGGCTGCTTGCGGCGAATTTACAGACATGAGAGTGGCATAAATCTTCTAATCGTAATCTCAGTGAGCAAGTGAAAATGTAAAAAATTCTTTAAGGTGTTTAGCATCTCAGTTAATAGAAATCAATAGCTTATGAAACAAGAATTAGCCCGAGCACTTGAACACTAGCACGTAAGCAGGCAGGCAGAGATGGAGATAATGACTCTGATAAACATGTAATCTCGTCTGTAAATGAAAACAGCAACTAGTTGCATAAAATTTGAAAGGAATCGGATTAGTCGCTGCTTAGTTGGCTGCTGATGATAGCGTAAACGTGTGGTGTTAATTTGCCCCCTCGTCCGCCTTACAGTGAAGCTGGCGTGCTGCTACTTCATCTAGCTGACAGTGCCTTTAATGAGAGTGAGTGCAGCGCCCGGTGTCAGGAGAACAATCCAGAGGAATTAGAATGAACAGCTCGGCTGATGTTCTCTGTTTGTGTCTCTGGGCCCTGGGAGAATCCCATTGACTCCGCTGCTCATTAGACGCTGCCTTTGTCAGACCAAAATAAAATAGATATTAGCAGTGAGACGGGGAGCGCTGCGGTGAATGTTTAATTGGGTGCTCTATGTGTTGTGTGTGTTTCTCTCTTCATACGAGTACCTCAAGGGGGTGGAAGCGAGTGTGTGTGTATTCTAGCCTGATGCCGCGCGCGTGTGTGTATTAGCAGGTCTATGTTTCACGTCAGTGTATGTGGATATCTGAAGCAGCCCCCTTCCGTCTCGGAGCGTCATCATTCCCCAGCTCCTGACACCTCTCGCTGGGGAGATCGAGCTGCGGCGTCAGCCTCATTAAGGCTTCCACTGTCTGGCTAATGAATCGATTGTGTGGTATCAGTGCTCCTGGCTGGCGCTCCCACAGTGCCGCTCCGCACCTCCTCTGGGGGCCTCCCTTCCACTGAGCTCTTAATCAGGAAACAGCCCTAATTACCCTGCCTCCCTCCTCCTCCTCATCGTCCTCTTCCTCCCTTTCATTTCTTCCTTCCGCACTCACTCTTTCTCTTCTCCTCATCTTTCCCTCTTTCTCCTCCAAACTTTATCTTCATGCTCCACCGCCCTTTTCCTTTGTCCTTCTTATCTTGCTGCTCCCCATTCTGCCTCTCTCTCTCTGCTATCATGCCTCATCCTTGGGCTAAAAGTGGAAGGGGGAGGAGGGGAGATGGCATTTGGGAGCTTCCACAGTAGCTTATATCACAGCAAAAAAAAAAAAAAGAGAGGGGGGGGAGTGATGTTTTGGGGGTAAGAGTCAGGAGGACTCAAGACGACTGAGACGGAGGTGCTGCTGTTGCTGATGTAATGAGGATCAGGAGTGGTTGGCAGAGTGTCCCGCCCCTAAAATCTCCACCTTGTCTCTTCCCATCTTGTCCCGGCCCTCAGTACACCACCTCGTACACCGTGGCCTTCTTGTCCCCAGAGCCAGTTACTATGTACTTGTCGTCTGGGGAGACGTCACAGCTCAGCACTGATGAAGACTCCTTGGACTGGGAGTGTTCGAGAGGTGGGGGGTGGGGTGAGAGAGAAAGCAAGAGGGATGTGATGATAAATGGATGAAGACAGATGGAGAGAAAGGAACACAAAGAGATGTTAGAAAAGATGTGACTCATCATTTAATACTCAATCATACAAGACATATTTGCATTTCAAAACAGTCGGCAATTATTTCCAAACAGACAACTCCACAGCTCCAGGATGCTGACTCATTCGTCTGCTCCAGTGTGAGACACTGCCACATTAACTCCAGGTTTTAAGCAGCATAAGCCTTGTAGCCTCAACTGGAAAAATGCACAATCCTTCCCTTTTATTCGCTCTCTTTTCCCCCCTGTATCCCAAAGCCAGACCTGGGCACCTGGCTTTAGATGATCTAAAGCTACTTCTAAACCCCACCTCCCCCTTTCACCTCCTTTCCCCCCTACTGTTCCATCATCATTTATCTTCCTCCCTTTCCTCCCAGACTCTCCTCCTCCTCCACCACCGCTCTCTATCCTCTTAGGCTCCCCTTTCACTCAGGCCCCAGCTCTCGTGTCGACTCCTCCTCTCCCTCTCTAAACTTCTCTGCCCTCTCCTCCTTTCCTCGCTACAAGCTCAGCGGGGCTGTCAATCATCAGGGCACTGGTGAGAGGCCATTTCACACAGGAATCCTCAAACTATAACAAGATAGCAGGAGGGGGGGCAGTGACAGGTTAAAGGATGAGTTTGAAGATGAGAAAAGTAAAGAAGACATTGAAAAACCCAGAGAAACTTAAAACTCTGATTTACTTTTTGGATGTCTGTGACTTTTGTCTGCTTTCTGGAAAAAGAGTCACAGGGTTTATTTGATTCATCTTTTAGCCTAAAATGTTCGGTAACACATTAGTTACGAAGTGAACGAGCTAAAAATAAGTATCATTATTTAAGAACTTGTATATAAAAAAAACATCTTTGTGATTGAAAATGTGAAGCTGCATGCTACCATGTGACGTGAACACGGTGGCATGTACCTGGCAGCACAGATTTTCAGCTAATGTGCCATTTAACTGTCATATTTAAAATTTATAGCAGGGAGAATGAGCATTTATAAAAAGCAACATTTCAGAATGATAACACAGCTTGTTTTGTTGAGCCAATACCGCTGAAAGGATGAGAGCATGTTTGGCATTTCGGTGCGAAAAACAGCTCAATAAAAGCTGAAAAAAGGAAGAGGGGAAACCTTCATGGTGTGAATACCGGCTGGACAGTGAAACAAGTGGATGTCTGTTCTCCCTGTGCACCGCAAATAGTCGCTTCTCTAAACTCACTGATTTAAGAGAACTTTTTGCACTGCACAAAAGTCGCCCTCATTAAACTTTCTGAACTCGAGACTCATCGGACTGTTCCATCTGTTTTCTTTCAGTCTGCATATGTTGATTGGATTGTACTCTTTATGACCTTTGTCCTTTTCCAGTTTCCCTTGAGAGAAAGCAAACAAAGAGAGTGATGCCACACACCAGCTAAAGGACGTGAATGAAAGCGAGCATGAGGAGAAAGAGGGGGAAACAGGAAATAAAATAAAGGAAGGCGATGAAAGCAAAGGACAGTAATAAAAAGGACAAGGTCAAAGAAGAAAGTAGATCCAGGCAGATTTGGAGGAAAAGATAAAAATGAGCAGAGGGAGGGAGGACAACAACAAACAGAGAGGAAAAATAAGACAAGAGCGAAACGGCGCTTTGAAAAGAGGCAAGGAGGACAGCGATGAAGAGGAGCGAGAGAGAGAGAGAGCAGCTCTGTTTAACACAGTGACAGGAGGGAGCTGTTTGGCAGGAGGAACATTTGGCATTTGGATAACAAAGCAAGATAGCCAGTATTCTCCTTTCAGTCCACGGGGAAAGACGGGAGCCGCCAACCCTGCTGCCCACTGTAGCTTACAGAAATATGACAACCACACTGTTTTACACACGCACACACACACACACACACTGCTCAGCTTAAATGTGCCTTCGTCTCTCGAGTTTCATTCACACCCAGATGTACTCGCTCAGCTAAAAATATTCCCTGCATATTCATGTTTCAACATTTCCTCCAACGAAGCAACTGAACGAAATGGAAAGATGGTGTTTGTCGTGTTTTGATTCACTGTGTGTGTTTGTGTGTGTGCGTCAGTCTGCACCATCTGATAAATCTCCACAAGTCACCTTGGATCAACAAATCTGAAAGTGAAAAAAATAGAGGTTTATCACGCTCTCTCCCTTTGAACCCTGTCATCTCTCTCTCTTTTGCCTTAAAGGCTCTGTGTTGCAGGGACTCTCTCCCTATGGCACACTGACAAAAGACATATCACACACACACACACACACACACACACACACACACACACACACACACACACACACACACACACACACACACACACACGTCATCAGAGCCAGTCATCGGTGCTTATCTCTCACCTGGAAAATACTAGCTCCATAAGGTGTCCTCCATGCATTCAACAGATTGTCTTTTCCTGTGCTCACAAACCACTTCCCTGAAACAACAAAGCAACAGTAACACATGTTAATCAACGAGAAAGGAGTAACTAAAGGGGAAAACAAACTACAAAGCAAGAGCGTGGAGAAGACTGACACATGTCGGTCAGTGGCTGGGATTCAATCGATTTAGGAACGGATTAAAGTGCTTGCGTTTGTACCGCAGTAGGCGAACTTGAGGGAGAGAACGCAGCTCTCGTGCAGGTGCAGCTGATATTTGTCCGGTTTGGAGACATGGAGGACTTCCACGTTACTGCTCTCCATTCCCACAGCCAACCACTCGCCTGTCGGACAGTAGCCCAGAGAGAAGATCTGGAGACAAAGAGGGAGAAAGAAGATGAATAAAGCAAAGCAGAAATCAAAATGAGGGGCGACACAGAAGGATTAGAAGCGACAACAGCAAGGGCGCAGAAGTTATTTTTAAAAAAGTGAAAAGAAAAACAACATGAGGGGCGGGAAAGAAGATAAGGTTGATTAGAAGAGAACAATGGAAGGAAGTAGGGAGGACAGATAAAAGAACTTAAAATTAGGGATCGGAGGATATTAAAGAGAAGAGATAAAGATGATGGGACAACAAAAGATCAGAGGTGGAAAGTAGGGAAAAGGAAAAATGAAAGAGTGGAGTGATATATAAACGAGCTAAATATAGAGTGAACTAAACAGACCTCAGATGGCAGACAGAGAAAGTCATTATACTGTGGATCGAAACTCATTTGACACCAGTGGTCAGCTGTAGTCCTGTCGTCACAGTGAATAGTGAATGAGAGACAAAATGTGTGTGTGTGTGTGTGTGTGTAGATTATTGTTGTATTTACTGTGCACGATCCCTTATTGAGGTGAATCTTATTACAGATGCAATATTAGGGATCTATTACCATTTAAGTGCTGTACCTGTATCAACATGTTAAAAAGCGTGAGCAGAATATGATTACTGTGTGTCTGTGTGTGTGTCTGTGTGTGTGTCTGTGTGTGTGTGCACCTGTGAAGTGAAATCGTGTTGCTGCAGCTGGCGTCCCTCTCGGAGGTCCCAGCAGCGGACTGTGTTGTCCAGCCCTCCCGTCCACAGCTTGGTGCCGTCGTTGGAGATATCGATGCAGCTCGCTCCGTCCGTGTGGCCCTGGAACTGCCTGCCGGGACAACGACCACGCAAACACGCACAAAAGAGGGTCTAAGAACCGAACTGGAAGCCCTTTGAATACACAAGCAAAGCGGACTCTGCCTCCCTGTTGTTTCTCTGCTTCTTTCCTGGTAGAGGTGTCAGATTAAATATGTTTTAATTCTTGCCTCCCCGTAGAACCGACAGTGTTCCGCACCTCATTTCCTTTTTATTTAAGCCCAGCTTTGCTAAAACAGAGCTGTTTTATCCTCTTCACATCCCCTATGGCTAGATTATCCCTTTTGTTTGCACCTGACCTTGGTGTTAGTTAAAGAAGCCACAGACTGCAACAATTTCTCACTCGCTTTCTCTTCTTACATATTTTATCTTCCCTTCCTCCATCTGAAATATTCTACCTTCTTTTTCTCACCTTTCTCTTTCTGCTCTCGTCTCACTACAGTCTACCTGCAGGGGTCCTTCTTACCTGACGAGCGTCTGGTTGTGAAGGTCCCAGACGACGATGTTGCCGTCGCTGCAGCAGGAAAAGCAGACCTTGTTGTCAGGGGAGATGGCCAGAGCGTAGCAGGCGGGAGCGGACGACGTCAGCTCCGCCTTGATGCGGGGAGTTGGCGTGGCCAAATCCCAGATTGACAACGTGCTGGCCTCTCCTCCAACAATCAAGGTTCGTCCGTCTGGGAGGATTTTACAGGAGCGGATGTAGTTATCCCTGTTCTGATTTGACAAGATAAAGAAACCAGTCAGATTACGGCTGTTGTAACTTGATCAAGGAGGGAGTGCGTGAGGCTTTACAGGACAGATGGCAACACTAGGGACATTCAGGAAATTAATGTGGACGTTTTAATGTCTGTTACCAAAGTGGAAGAGGAAACACGACATGGTCAGTAAAAACAAATCTGCTCTGTGGATGCATGCACTGGTTTTCATGGATTCACGTGCGAGTGGTTACGAGAGTACTCTTCTCAATTTTTTAATACTTGTGTGCGCCTCATTTTCTTTCATGTCTCACCAGACAGTCCAGCTGGGCCATGGGGCTCTTGCTTCCTGGTTGGCTGATGTCCCACACCTTGACACAGCCCTTCCCTCCGGTGTACACGTGACGAGTCGAGGTGCTGATGGTGACGGCGCACACCACCTCCCCGTGGCTCAGGGTGTGGATCTGACGGGCGTGACGAGGGATTCCCGGACCCAGCAGAGCGTCGGGAGGAAAGGGCACGGGCTGCATCTGGCCGTCCGCGCTCACGTGGAACGAATAGGCGCTGAGAAGGGATAGAGAGAGGAGGGAAAATAAATCAATACAGTCAGGCAGAAAGAGCAACAGCTAAAAAAACAAACTAAAATTGGACTCCTAGGTGCTATGAAGACAAGAGAGAGAAGATGAAAATCAATCAATCAGTTAGCGAGCAAGTAAAAGCAGAGTGCTAGGGGTAAATACACACAACTCATTAATGACCACAAATATGTCAGTGGGCAGTGTGACGTGTGACAACACCATAATGGCCTTGAAACTCCAGCAGTATTTCCCCGAACTCTGGCAATTACTGGGCTCACCGTAGCTACGGGCAGGAATGCATAATGGCAGATTATATTACAGGGCAGAGTCAGCGTGGCTTTGCTAATGGCTGATCGATACTGTAGCGGTTGGAAGCCGAGGCTGCTTTATGATTTCAAATTAGCGCCGCAAGAATGAATTGCCACTCTGCAATGAATGACAAAAACAACACAATTCCTCAGTCTGCAAATTTGTCTGAGTAGGTGCCGGGACATTTAAAAATCACACCAGCATTTCAGACATCAAAAAAGGTTCATGGACATCTTTGAAATGCCCTCTATTTTCTTTTAAAAACACAAAGAGGAGCAGCTACAGTTCATCCTGATTCCCATCCAAGGCAAATATTTGTGGGTTATCACTGAGCTAATATTTGAAGTGTGTTCCTGTTGTGTTGTTGTCCTTTTCTGCTGTTCTATAAGCACCATCAGCTAAAAATAAGATTAAAAATGTAACTGCTTCATTCAATTATACAGCACATCCATGCAAAATAAATACAATACTAATGCTATTACACGTGCCTCAAAACTGTAGATGGTTTTAATTGCAAAACAGAAAAAGACTCCGCTTTAGATAAAATTTGCAGCACATTGAATCATTATATTTGATCTCTCTTCACGCTTGAGCATCGTCTAATCTGGGCTTGTTTTAGTGCGCGACAGAAGCTCTGACTTACGGCTTGCCACCAGAGGAACCAGGGAGAGAGGAGGGCAGCCCCGGGGCCCTTAGGTGAGACCGAGAGTCATACGCCACCTGGTGGAAAGTAAAGCGTGAACAAAAAAGTGACAGACTGGCAAAGGCTACTTTAAAGATTCAGAATGATTTCCAATTATCATCCAAAGGTGCAAGAAGTTATCCAGTAGAATCTATTTTCCAAATAAATAAAAATAGTTGCAATTTAAAGCGATTAGAAGGGACGAATTTATTCTTCTACATCAGACTTTAACTGGACTCTTTCAGCTCCTTCTTGTTCACCCACGTTTCCTGATATGTAACATAGATGCAATCCATCAAGACAAGACTCTTTGTAGTAAAGTTTCTCTTCTCTATGACTGTAGCACTATATGAAAGTGAATTTGAGGATGTAAATGTGACGGCTTCGAGTATATAACGAATGCAGTTGATGGCGCAGAAGTGATTCATCAAGTTTTTGAACAGTGCTACAAAAGTCAAAAGTTTGCATCTGAACAATAAATCAGAGCTTGACAGAGAAGATAAATTTGGCCTTTACACACCATGGGGCTTCTGGAGTACGCGCTGGCCGCGGCGCTGATTTGCGGGGAGAGAGTCAGAGCCCCTCCGAAGCCTCCTGGGCTGGCCAGCTCCCCATTCAGTCCTGCGTGGGACACCACGCCAAAATGAGCCGGGTATGAACCGGGGGGCACAGACATGGGACTGCGGAGAGCTAGGGAGGGAGGGAAAGAGGAAGGAGGAATTGAAGGATGGGATGAAGGGAAGAACAATGCACAGTATACAAGCACAGACACAGTCACAGAGGGACTGAGAAGAATGGAAAATGTTTCATTTCACTAAACTTTGTTTATACACCGAGTTTGACACCAGACCAAGAAGCGCTCAAATCCACACTGTATCCACATTATTAAGTATATCAACTTTGCTTTGATCATATTCAGCAAATTTGCAACAAAACCGTAGAGTAAGCAAGATTATTCAGTATATAAGTATAAACAAATGTGGAAATGAAAAAAGTGGGATAAGAGGTTAAAATGCATGAAGGGCAGAGGTCAGCTGGGTACAAAGCCTGAATTAAAAGATTGATTTGACCTAATTAGTCGTATGAAAAAGACCTGCAGTAAAGCAGCTCAGTTTGAAAGTCAAGGGCAGTGGTACTGTGATGATCTGTACCATTTACAAATACTAAAAAACAGTGTCGCCATAGCTTAGTAACAGAGAGGGCCTTTATCTACAGTGAAATTATAATAACCAGTTATTTTAGATTTAAATTACAGCAGGCTTGTCAGTCAGTCAGGAGAGTCTCACCAAGGGGATCTGCACTGGTTGCTGCTTTGCTGACTAGGCGAAGGCAGGAGGTGCTGGGACCAGGAGCTCCTGGTGTTCCTGGGGTAAGGGCCTCACGGTGGGATGGGGACGGGGTGCCAGACTTAGACAACGGGGACTGGGACTTATCCATCTGCAGAGATGTCAAACAATAAAAAAGAAAGTGGGAAAAAAGGAACATGGCCGATCCGTCGCAGTAACCTCCAGAATGACACTGCTTAAACATTCTCGGTGTGAAAAAAAACAAAACTTTTGTTTTGTATCAGAGCCATTTAGTGTGCATAAATTAGTAATGTATGAGCTTTTTTATAACCCCAGAGCAAAACAATATGATAGTGTAATATACATCAGCAATGAATGGCCTAAGGGTAAAAAGTGAAGAGATTTTCTACTGGAAATGTTAAAAATTACAGTGCTTTGTAAGCAAAGTAGGGATTTTTATAGCAACTGTTTATCTTACCTGTCCAGGGTCCTTGGCTTTGCCTGTGGTTGGGCTGCGGGGGTTTGGCGTGGACGGTGCCTCTCCTGTGCTCGAGGACCCTGGAAGCTCTTTCCTCAGAGTGGGGGCCCGGTCTAACCCATTCCCATGGGGTGAGTGAGGAGGGCTGCCTGCGGGAGAGTTAGGCTCCTGAGCGACAAAGAGAGGTGAGAAAATATTTAATGTTCTACATGAGTATAAAAGAGATCTTATTTCTGATCGCACAATGCTTTCTTTGTTCTCTTTCTATCCTGATCTTCAAAGCTCTGCATTCTTCCACTGTGGCATATTGTCTTTCAAGACGTGACCTTCGTTCTCATTTCTGCAGTTCTTCTATAACAATTTTACCAATATATGTATACATGTCTTGTTGAAGCCAACGTGCACGTGTGAAAAAGTGCTCTGAATGATAGTTGAGTGTCATAGTTGCATTAAAAGATACTCCGAGGAGTCGGCTGGGCGGTTTATCTTTAAAAATTACGTTGAATTTTAAGCCTTTCTTTTTGACATCTCAGTGAATCAGAAGTGCACATCGTTAACCAAAGAGGCGAGCTGAGGCCTCATGCACACAGCCCTACAGATCAGGCGGTCAGCCAAAAGGCCATCAGGAAAAAAGAAAAGGAAAAATCGA